GTCTCGCTGATTTTAGTCACCTCCCGCTACAGCAAGCTGTCAGGCAGGCAGCTTGATTGTGTCTGTGTGAGTCATCAAAACAACGCCAAGTGCTACCAGCTACCAGCTACCAGCTACCAGTCTTCAATACCAAATCAAGCATTACTTGCATAACCCACAGCAAAGTCATCGACCAACGATCATCATCATTGTTATGATCATCATCAAGGTGCAGGCATGCATAAATATTTTTCTAAAGCCCAACTTGAACAGTGAAGCTCCGCACATGGAGCTGTAACTGGGCTCCACTTGAGCACGTCGAGAACGCCGGTAGCCCCAGCCTGATTTCAACGCGTTGTGTCTCTCTCTCTCTCTCTCTCTCTCCCACTCTCTCTCTCTCTCACTTGATATCGGCCTCTCTCTGTCTCTTTCTCGTTGGTTGTGAACCCGTCCGTTCGCTTTTGAAGCACCCACCGAATGAAACGTTAACAGCAGCATCCCATCCACTTGGAGCTGTGGCAAGTTCCCGGTACGGCTTTCATGTTGACTGGCTGCTGCTGCAACGCCGTCGGATCGGTTGCTTGGTGGCATGGCTGCAGTGGTGCGCTGATGCATGTCCAAACATCCTCAGTTCTGGTCAGTTTGATGCTCGGAGTTGTTCTACGTTCCTTCATTTTATTTATTTTCTTGGAAATGTGCGCTTTTGACCCTCCCCCGACCCACCACTCCCTGTAGTACTCCCTGTCCAGCTCTCAGTTTGCCGTCTTGTTTGTCAGTTTGTTTATTTGTTTGCCCGTTTTGTTTATTTTCAATAAATATTTGACATTTGTCTAGGCATTTTCCCGAGCCGGCCTGCAGCAGAGAACAGTGCCAGTCAACCATTTGGCTGCCAACACGGAGCGGGTACATTAATTTTTCAAGTATTCCCAACCGCATCGCCAGCACGCCCCCGTAGCCTCCCACCCCGTCCACCCCATCGTAAACACTGCATTCGCTGTGGCAGTCATCTGCCACAAGTTCTAAGCTCTCTGCTGCACACTGCTTTTCAAGTTGATGCATTTGGAAACCTCCACCTTCCCCGCTGCTTCGCAATGCGGATGTTTGAATTGAACCTTTCTTCTATTTGGTTGCGAAAAATTGTTCGAGGAAATTGTGTGACAAAACCAACGAGGTGTTGACGAATGTGTTGTCTTTGTTCCCTTCAAAATCCATTTCCAATGCCATGCCAAGTGTCTGTCTCTGCATAATTCACACAGTTGGCTTAAGTGAACTAGTAAATCCTAAAAAGGTGCTAGAGCATTCTTAGTGTATATTTGCATATGACATACATATTAAATATTTACTGATTTGAATCGTGGATGTGAAGCTATTCTGCGCATATCTTAATCATACATTTCAATATTCAATATCATCATCATAAAATTTGCTGTATTTGTTCTTTGCACTCCCTTAACTTAATTTATAACCATCTTCGTGCTCAACGCATTAAATTTGATTACTTTTCATTAAGCTAAAATTCCGCGAAAAATATAATGTTCCAATATGTATTCCATCAAGTTTCAAAAGCTGCTCGTGCCGGCAGCATCATCAAGTCATATGCTAACCATTGTCGCCATTTGTAATTGAGCCGTTTGAGCAGTCGCCCAAAAGCAAAGCTTCGAGTGGCAAGTCTCCTCGCAGCTTTTGGCCGCCTATTTATGGCCATATTTTGATTGCTGTTTTCGTTGGTCCATCATCAGCCAAGCAACCGAGCAACCAGTCAAGCAGCTATTCATCCATCCATCCATCCATCCATCCATCCATCCATACGCTCTCCGGTAGCTGGGCGGCCTGTCAAGATGCATAAAGTTTGTTTTCGTCACGCTGCCGCCTCACATCAGACATCATCAGCAACGTCATTCTCCAGTCCTCCAGTTGTAGTGATTTTTGATACTCTCTGCCGTATATTGGTTTTGTGCAATGTCAGTCAAGCTGTCTGTCCGTCGACCGTTGTATGAATGCAACTTTTCTTGGCACCCTTGAGACTATATACTATATTAAATATACATAATCTCAAAGTCATTTCAGACAAAGTTATGGCTGAAATGTTTTGAAAAGTTATGACTCCTAAATTTTTGAATGAATTTCAAACCAGAATCGCGTTTTTAACTTTAAAAGTAGTCTTGATCTTGAGGATCGCATCAATTTTGACAATTTTATGTCTCTGGAAATTGGCGTTCTCTCACAAATTGAAGCAATAGTGGAGATTCAAAGATTGATATATAAATATAAAACTACGAACCTTTAAATTTAACCAAATTAAAATCTGTATTCATAATTTTTTAATGGTATCAGAGTATTCCACAGTCGTTTAAGCCCTACTGCAACACTGTCAGTGTTGCTTTTTTTGGGATTTTTTTTGGGCAGCAGTAATTTTTTATTATTATTAATAAATTTTGGCTGTTGGTTGAGTGAGTGCCGTCATCAGATATTTTGGCAGCTACTTTGGCTACCGAATATCATTTTTTTTATTGCAAAACCATTTTGGACGGGTCAACACTGATGCATCTAAGGCAATTTAGTTATGCAAAACAGAAAGCGGCAGTAAAACGCGGTTTGGAAGTTGACAGGAAGTTCAGTTTGAAGTTGGACAGTTGGCAATTTGCTGCAGCATTCTTTGAAGTTGGAGTCTAACTTCAACAACTTAATAAGCAGCTTGCAACTAGGAGATATAAGTAATTTATGCCAACTACGCTGTCTGTTTATATACATAATTGCCCCCCGAAGAAACGATAGGAAACACAATAAACCAGGCAGCTGGATGAGTCCAAATAAAATGCACAGCTGTGCATAAGACAACATCCAAAAATAGTGAAAATATGTTTGTGTGCTATTCGACGGTCAGGTCGATATGAATAAAATGCAGAAAACAGTAAAATGCTTTCAACTATGCAAGTCGTGGTAGCAACATCAACACAAGCAGCAGCAACAACAACACAGCTGCCTCCAATTGCTGTTGAGCTGCAGTATCAGAGTCTCCCGACTCATGCGTGTGCCCATAATGGTTCGCAATTAATCAAAACCTGAAGCAATCACTAAATTTCTTACACTTCAGCCTGAATACTCTTTAATAAAGTGGGAATACAAGTTGTTGGCTGATGCATCTATTATTGGTTTTTTTGTGGGTTGCTTTTACAAATTGTTTCCATTTTGGTCAATTTGCTTCTCAACTAATCCAAACAACATTAAAAAAAAACCCATATAGCCACTTTTAAAGATTAAATAATGGAGAACCAAAATCTTCTAGTTTGATGTTCTGTGCAGTAATTTCAAATCGCTTCTTCTTTCGGCTTTCTTTTAGCTACATTTTATGGATTGTTTACTGCCGCTATTAAAAATTGCTCAATCTGTTAATCTATTAAGTAATTAATGTGTTTAATGCTTTGTGCATTTTCTAAGCGCATATATTTTTCAGGTGCGTTCAATTTGTCAAAACATTTAATCAGCAAAACTTTTCTCACTCTAGCTGTCAGCGCATGGTAAACTTGCACACGGCGTGGGCAACCTATTCCAGATACAGATGCAGAGGGGAGCGTGGAATGAATATAGCAACTCTGTTTGGGTGTTGAGTGGAGTCAAAATTTTAGCTACTGCAGATTTGTTATTTGTCAAAACATTTAAATGCCATTTGCATGTACCACAGCATTTTGACAGCTGCCGATAATTTTTCTCGGTTTGCCACTTTTCACACCTTGCCCCGGTGGTGCCCAAAGCGAATTTGTTTTGCCTTTTCACTGGCTATCTGTTCATTTGTTTCGGCTCATTTAAATAATTACAGTTTGGCTGTCGAAATAAATTTAGTGTTAGGTGAAAGTGATCAGAGTTTTATGAAGTTTTCCTCTACTGCCTGGTGATGGTTTTAATTTCGAATTGGCACAATCGGTGTGTGAAGATATTAAAGGAAAAATTGTGGAAACTCAGAAACTGAAAGCGAAGCAAAAACAAAATGTATTTATTACAACAAATTGTTGGCAACATCTTTGACTTCATTTTCCAAATGATCTCAAGTTTAGCATAAAATATTTAAGTTTTCGTTTTATCTATAGCATTTATCTTTTTAATTACTTCTTTACATGCTTACAGAACCTACTTATTTAACTTAGGCGAGCAATATTTGTAAGAAAATGATTTAATTCACATATTCATTTAAACTTTTGGAAGCTCCACACATTTAGCAAACTTATCTATTCAATTTTAAGTTCTGGCAAAACTTTTTGAGTTGACTCGCAGATATACCTATGCATATAGCAATTTCACAGCAATTACGTCAACATTTTTCATGGCACACACAAATGCGAAAAGTTTTTGTTGACATTTGCCAAAAGTGCACATGGCTAACACCAACACCAACAGCAACACCAACAGCAACAACAACAAAAGCGACAATGCCAGCTAGATACATTGATAGAAACAGCAGCAATTGCAATTTTGAGCGAGCAAACATGCAAATCGCATACCAGGTCAACATTGCTAACTTTGGGAGCTCAGCTGCTACCAACTGCGCTGCTGGCCAGCGATAAACTTTATCTCGAAAGTTGTCGTTTTTTTTTTATGGCTATCTATCTGCAACCGTGAGATACATTTTTCATGCTGGCCAATCAACAATATGACCAAAGACAGAGACTGAATGTGCAGCGAACAGCTGCTCAGTGATTTATGGGCCATGTATGAGGGCTTGAGCTTGACTTGTTTCACCAATTAAATTGATTGACATGGGAAAAACTGTCAACTACATTGTAGACGGAGCATAGGAAGCCAATTCGGATGAGCATATATATTATTGACAGCTTTATGTTCAGTTGCTTTAGAAATGAGCTTAAGTGAAGCATTTAATGGCTACGTTCCAGCATTTTTATGAAATACTTCCCTTGCTCTGTAGAGCAAAACTGAAAGCAAATTTTACTCGGCAGAAAACCAATATTTTTTTAGCCATTTCGATATAAAACCCATTAAACTCAATACGCATTGTTTTTGTTTTACAGATTTGCGGCTACGTAACAATCAACAGGCGGACGAGGCCGCCAATATTGGTGGACTTTTTCCGCCTCTCTTCAATGTGGCGCCACGCGCCTCGATTACAGTGAATGCGACCTGTGGCCAGAATGGTGCTGAGGAGTACTGCAAAGTGGTGGATGCCTATCCGCATCGTAACTGGGCCAAGCACTGTGGCACCTGTAATGCCCATAGCTCGGATCGTTCCAAGCAGCGACCCATAGAGTCGCTGATCTCGCCCAGCTTCGAGGAGAGCTGGTGGCAATCGCCCACGTTGCAGGGTGGACGTCAGTTTGAGTATGTAACCATTACATTGGATCTGAAACAGGTGAGTCCTGGTCGGAGTCTGGGTCATAGACAACCCCCATGGAGTGGTTGATCTCGTGTGACAGCGAAGTTGTGATCCTGTTTGTAATCAAGCCGCTGACTTGTCATTCATTTACAATCGATTTAACGCCAGTTCTATGATCCATTTGCGCCTTGGACTTGTCACCGGTCATTAGATGCTGTGCACATGAAATATGATCGCAGTGGGCTTGGATCGAGTTTTGGAACCGGTCACTAGCTAATACATGCTAATGCTCAAAATGACAATCATAAATTCGCTCTGATGGAGTTTTGATTAAGTCATATCATCTTACGGGCAAGCGGCGACTTTCTTCAATTACGAATGATGTGAAACGATTTCCGGGTCTTAAGATCGATCTATAAAATTTTTTATGTATCTATTAGCGGCGCTAAAAATGTGCTGAAAAGCTACTATATATGATGTTATATTGTTATCTTGAAGCACAAGTTCCAAAGTAAGACTTGAGTAATCTATTAAATTAAAAGGTTTTCTTATAGATACTTAATATCGCATAAATTTACTGTAAATATTCCAACTAAACAAAGTTTTCTCCAAGTATTTTTAATAGTTCCTCCAAATAAAAAAAGTTTTTAACGAATATTGAAAGAAAATAAAAGATACTTTAATCACCTTCACATTCAATGCAGTCGAGTAAAGACAGTGTTATTTTTTATTATAGATCGCTATATAGTACTTAAAACTGAAGCCTCTTTTAAATACTTTTCTCTGGCAGAAACAACTTCCCATCCTACATATTGTTGAACTTTAAGCACATTCATCAGTCGCGAAAAAAATAAAAAATAATGTAAACTGAAAAATAAATCAAAAATTGTGTGACAGACTCGCTGATGCAAAATCAACGTAAAGAGAGCGTGTAAATTTTGACACATGCCGTTGATGTGTTGAAGTTTGCCCTCCCGTCTCCCAATCCCTTTCAGTTCAGATGGAAATATCATCGACTGGCGCTGCCCTCTGCCAACACCACTAACAAAAGTCATGGGAACATTTAAAAGTCGCACAAGCTTTTGGTTTTTTTTCTTTAGTTAAATGTTTCTTCTGACATTTTGATGCCATTTTTTTTTTTTTTTTTGGTCTGTCGCCATCTGACCAAAAATTCAGTTCAACATGTGTCAATTGTAGTTAAAATTGAAAATTGTCAGCAGAGCTGAGACTGACATATACATAGAGTCCACAACGCATCCATAAAAGGTAATTCGATTTTTTTTTGGGCAAACTTTGCACTCCAGAGTACTGTAGCGATCTACTGACAATGTTAATTAACGTAGGATCCAATTTAAATATTTATTCGACTGTGTTGGCAAGCTGGTGCTCCCGTTCATTATTTATTAATAACTCTTGGAACGCATGGCTGTCATAAATCTCTCATACTTGCTAGAGGCATATGCGAGAACATTGTTTTTAATTTTAAATCAGTGCCGGAGTCGGAGTCGGCAGTCGGCAGTTTTGTTCCCCGGTTCTCTGCACGTTTTAATTAAGTGTACACTTCCATATTCTCGAAGCAGTCTTTGCCTTGTCTGTTCTCTTCGACGGCATATGGCAATGAAAGAATAATATCAAAACATTGAAAAAAATCATATGAAACAGGGGGGAATATTTGTTGTTGGCAACGAGGCAAACAAACGATGAGGCTCGAGTGCAAACTGCACTTGAAATGTCAACTTTGTGTCGGCTGATGCTAAGCAGATGATATTTCAGCACTTAATTGCCATATAGAGAAAGTTTCCGATAATTATACGGATCTTAATGATCCTTCTGATGATGATGATGATGATGATGATTATTAGCTAAGCAGCTGCAAGAGCAGAAATGTATTTCTGACCGTATGCGCATGTATGTGTTTGGGTAATACTTTATTGCTTCTGGCCCCAATGGAATTTCAATTAACACTTTTACGCATTGTTAGCACTCAATAGAGTTTTAAAGAGCCGTAAGCTTGGGATGAAAGAAATGCCTAATGGATTGTTGGGTGGGCAAGATGGATTGGTAACAAAGAAAGAAAAGTTTATAGTTGAATATATCTTGCATATAAGGTAATAACTCCACATAACTATGAAAATACTGCGAGGAGAGAAATGTCAGAGGGACATAAATATTAATCAATTTGTCGCTTATATTTATACCTTTAAGCTACTCACTCGTTTCCATATCCATTCCCTAATTCCAATGCTCCAACTCCAATAGGTATTGCTTAATTTCATGTATGTTTTGGGACTGGAAATATTTAAAGCATTTGTCACAACTGTTTAAAAAGAAATTAGAAGAAATCTGCTCGCTGCCGTCTCAAAACAGATGACAGACAAAAATCCCCACGGAGAAATAGAACCAAATTTATGACCTCTGACGAAAACTTGACATTCAACGTTGGCGTTTCACATTTTCATGGGCGACAAAAATGTCGAAGTCGCCGAGTTGATTTTAACAATTAGACTAATCGAGTGATTTACAACAACAGCAACAACAATAATAACAGCGAGACAGGCATGTGTCAACGATTTGACAGCTTAAAATATTTTTCTCGCTTGTTTGGCATGTCCGCAAGTCAGCAAAAGGCAGCAAAACAGCCGCCAAGAGCGGCCAGAACAGCGGCCAGAAAGCGACTGCGACTGCGACTGTCAGCCAGATAGTCAGTCAGTTTGTCTGTCAATCTGTCCGTCTATCCGTCTGTCAGACTATCTGTCAGCTTGGCTTGCCGCACACTCTGGCCACAACAATGTCTAGATTTATGCCTCAATGGCTTTGGGGCGCGCGTGACTAATTGAAAGTCTAGCGAGAATTCTCAGAATTGCGATTAAGCGAGCCAAATCAGTCGCTCTCAAACTGTACACCACTTATATTACATGGTATTTCAAATAACCAACTAATTTTGTAATTTAATTCAATTTTATTCAATTATATATATAAATATTTAAATATAATGATTTTGAGAAACTGATTATGTTTAAATTCAGTTTCAACTTCAAGCTTATTTGTTGATTTTTGTCAACTTTAGTGGATTGAGTTCAAAAAGGAGTTTAAATCGAACCAGATAAGATCAAATATAAGCAAATTTAGGTTAAGTAAGAGTGAAATATAATTTTCGTTCTTTTCATTGCTTTAAATGTAAATGTTTGATTTGTTTCATAGATTTTCAAGCCTCAAATGCCAAATTTTTGTAAATGTTGCCATGCGGCAACATCAACAAGCTAAGTAAAAAACAAGTGCTTTTTTTTATTTTTATAGCCATTTAATTGCTTCATTAAATTTAGCCAAATTTGGCCAAAGTTGATGTTGCTGTTGTTGTTGTTGTTGGCGGCGGCGGCGGCGGCGGCGCCCGAGGCTTGGAGGCTTTGGGGCAAGCTTTACGTAACTGTAATTCAAATGTTTGACAAGTTGTTGCAACATTCGCAGCAGCGGTCCAACTAAAACAAAAACAACAACCGGCAAGGCGTGTTACCAGCCACGTACGCGACGCATTTAGGCGTTGCAATTATTTTAATGGTCAATTTATTTATTTGTTTCGACTATTGCAATGTTGTTTTCTTCTTTTTTTTTTTTTTTGTATGCACGTTTCGCCTTTTTGAGAATGCTTCTCGTTGTTTGGATTGTTTGCTGTTGTCGTTGCTTGCATTTGCATAAATCACTTGGTTGTGCGTTGTTAACGTGATTGAAGCTCTGCCTGAAATCCTTTTATGTCGCTCTTTCCGGTAAACCTAGCTAAGCTCTGTCCGTTATTTGAGCCAAGTTCAGCAAGTTTTTACTTTGTTTTGAGTTTTGGTTGCAGTTGCATTTAATGCACCAATTTAAAGATAAGAAAACTTGCTGGCTAAACAACTTTTAAACTGCAACGTTTTTTGTGGTAACCACAAAATAAGAAAATTAAGTGAAAAAACAATCAATCAAAGTCAATGCGACTCTAGAATTTGCTGTATAAATTTTACACAATTATATAAATGCATTGGCCTCACTTTACCTTCAGTGAACATTTTATTTGTTATAAGAACAAATAACATACCCATTTACTTGACTTGTACAGGGTACATTCGGCACCTTCTGTCTGCCATGTGGGTTCATTCACCACATAAGCCAACAAAAATTGAACGCTTCGCTTGCGTGGCCGCCTTATCTAGAAACGCGCCAGCAGAAAATTCTATTTCTTGGGCCACAAAACTTTATAATTTTGACAAAAAAAAAGTAATAAAAATAACAGTATGTAGATAAAAGATATGTGAGTAATATGAATATGACAGACTACGCGCCCAAAACAAAATTAAATGCCTTCAACTATTTCATTTTTTTTTCGACTTTATTTTCGACAGTCTGGTCTTGTTTTTGTTTTTGTCTGTCTCACAACACAATTTCGCGCTTGTTTATTTTTAAAGTTTACGATGCGACGATTCAGTGAGTTTTGTCGGTGATTATTGCATTTGGTTTTTATGGCCATAGTTTGCCATTTTTCCAACAATTAGCGTTGGTTAGAACGTGTTGCTGATGCACCCGATTAATTTCGGCCATTGAGCGATAAATATTTAATGAATATAAAATGCTAAATAACTTTATTTATGACATGCAATTGTGTTGGCTTACAGTTTATCTCTGACCATAAGTCAATTGTGGAACTGCCGCTATTTTAATACTATAGAAGCCACAATTCAATTAAGTTGTCTCACTTGCATATTTTAAACATTTTGTTGTCTAATTTGATATGCGGTCTATCAGCTGGCAGGCATTTGGAAACGGGTTTTCTTTTTAGCATAATATATCAATTGGAAATGCATTTAACAATAGCTGGTTCAACAAGCTGAACAAATATTCACACATATTTCATTGACACGCCCTGAATGTATGCATCTTTTCCGATTTCGATTTTGTTTCGATGTTGTTTTCGCATTTGTTCAACATGTCTTTATTGTTGTTGGGCATGTCAAAATAGCTGATAAAAATGTCAAAACCTGCATTGCCTGCCCCAAAGGCTGACAGCTTCCACTTGCGGCTGATGCTGCTGCTGCTGCTGCTGATTGCGATCTACACAGATCTTTCACTGCCCTATAGAGGCACGTTTCTCTTATCGACAACTTGTTTCTGGACAGGCAGCAGAGGCAACAGCAGCAGCAGCAGCAGCAGGAAGTTGCAGTCACAGACGCGTGCACTTGTTCTTAGCTTGACTTTATCTCTGATCAAGGTTAGTGCAATTGACGTAGACAACATAATTTCATGAGATAAATCATTGACAGCTTCATCGATACAACAATGCAAAAGAACACATACAAAAACACACTAAATGCAACTGGTTTTAAGAGTTTCATTGCCAAGCAATTAAAATCTTTTGTTTATACAACACAAACAACAATTAATTCGTAAAAATAAAAATAATCTTACTGTTCTCTACAAGAATTTGAGTAACTCTTACAAAAGTATATAATCCCTTTGTCACATATATATATTTATAATATATAATATAATATAATTTAATTGCACTATAATTCTTATATATAGTTTTTCTGATGGTTCTATCAACTTCTCCCCAACTTCTCACCTACTGTGTGGAATTAGTTCCCAATCGATATTGCTGATCTCTGCAAATATATTCAGACATTTTTTTCTAGTTCACAAATCATTTCAGAGCACGCAATAAATTTTCCAAGACATTCTCTAATTTGCCTGGCCAGCAATTTCCCCAATTCTGTTTTGTGCACGTTGCGCTGTCTCTGTCCGATTGCCTATCTCGCTCTAATCTTATCAGCACATGTCGTGCCGTCTGTTGGCAGTTGTTGTAATCGAATACGGGCAAAGCAAATTGTTGTTGCCGCTGAAAGAGGCACGCATGCGCAATGCTTGCACTGAATTTTCCCAGTGGATTTTCACAGTGGCTGCGTGCATTTTATCAGGTGCTGCGAATCGGAAAAACTTGTGGCGAAAATGTGTTGCACCGAGAGAGGAGTCAGAGCGAGATAGCAAGATATTTGGCCAACAAGTGCCTTTTGAAATTTGATAGACTCGTTGTTGAATGTCGCTTGTCGCCTGTCTCCTGTCGCCTGCCGTTTGTTATCTACCGCACGCTGACATTTTGGCCATGGCTTATGAGCGGATTGTTTGCTATGGAGTTGCTGGAAAATCTCGTTAGATGGCGCCAGACAGCTTAGCTTTTGTATTATAATCAATTACCAGGCCAAAAGGCCACACCTTGCACATGCCTTTTATTGGTTTCAGTTTTCAGTTTTTTCATTTGTCGATCTTTGCACAACGATAGCCCCAAAGAAACACGCAACGTTTTTGGCATTTGCCATTTTTTGGCTAAACAATTTTCGCAAATAGTTCACCAAAATATAAATAAAAATACATATAAATATCGCTTGTCAGCTGCCGGGCGTGTTTCTGGCGATTGGGAGTTGCCTTATTTTTTATTTTTATTTTTTTGTTAGTCGCTGTTTTGTTGACAGCTTGCAGAATTTATGACATGACGATGGTGTTGGCTTAAAGTTTTTACACTGCCAGCGGCAACAGCAGCCACAACAGACACAAGTTTGCAGCGTTGCGGTTTCAGTTGTTGCATTTACAAAGATGTATACAACTAAATAATAGAAACATCGGCGCCTTGCCCCAAAGTGACAGGGCACAACATCAAGTCTTTGGGCTGTACAAACTAATTTATAGCGCTGGCAGTGAATGTAAAACTGTAAACTGTAAACCGAATTTGTGGTCTGTTAACATTCCAAATAAAAACGAACCTTTAGCTAAAAACGAGCATAAATAATCGAGGTGACTTGAGGTGACTTCAAAATATGTCAATCGAGAGACAGAATTGCGTGAGGCATAGCGTGTGATGTTGTAGTAATAATAAAGTGACAATGGAAAAGATTAAATTCATATATATTTCGAATATTTGTATTTACCTTTGGAACAGTCTCTCATCCATCTGAGTTATAAATTCTCTCAATTTGTTAACCATTTCAGACGTATCAAATCTTCTTCGTCATGCTGAAATCGGCCAATTCGCCACGTCCTGCTTCCTGGATACTGGAGAAATCAATCGATGGCATTAACTACGAGCCCTGGCAATACTTTGGTCTCAGCGATGCGGACTGCAAGCGACGCTACAATCTGTCCGGACGGAATGGCAAATACTCGTTTAAAAACGATACTGAAGTGATATGTTCCACACAATACTCCAAACCGCTGCCATTGGAGAACGGGGAACTGCACGTGTCCCTGCTAAAGAATCGACCTGGTGCACAGGAGCAAACGCCAGAGCTGATGGAGTTCATCACGGCTCGATTTATGCGAATTCGACTGCAGGGCATGCACTCGACGGCGAATCTGGAGAATAGCGTCGACTGGGCCCTCGATGCTCAGTCGCTGGAAAAGCGCAGTTTCTACAGCCTGAAACAGTTGCGTGTCAGCGGTCGCCTGGACTGTCATGGACATGCGAATCGCACACAGGATGTGGCGGGTAATACGCTGCTGCAGTGCATCTGTCAGCACAATACGTGTGGCATGCAGTGCGAGGAGTGCTGTCCACTCTTCCAGGACCGGGCCTATGCTGCCGGCGGCGAATGTGAGATTTGTCAGTGCAACGGACATGCGCAGAGCTGCAACTACGATGCGTACCTGGAGCGTGGCATCTGTCAGAGCTGTGGCAACAATACAGCCGGCAATGAGTGTGAATTTTGTGCAGGCGGCTTCTATAGACCACTTGATGCGGCACCCACTGAACCCTGCCTGCCCTGCGCCTGCAATCCGCAACGTTCCACGGGCAACTGTGCACCTGTGGGAGGCGCCTGCCATTGTCTGGAGGGATTCCAGGTGGGTGTTGTGGGAATAACCAATCGATAACTTTTATTACTACTTTACCATTTAAGGCCATTGTATTAACCATTTAAATTGGTGAATATTATATTATAATATTTTATTATAGGCATTTTTAGTTCATTTACATTGATTAGATTTCTTGGTTGATTTTTGTACCATTTAACAATTCTGATCCAAAGTTGATACAGCTTCTTCAATAATCAATACATATATATATATATTTTATTCAGGGTGCCCACTGCGAGGAGTGCGCTCCGAATTACTACGGTGACGATTGTCGCCGCTGTGAATGCGATTCACGTGGAACTCTCGAGGACAGCGCCTGCGCAGGAAGTTGTCGGTGCAAGGCACATGTGGAGGGCGACACCTGTTCGGTGTGTGCCACGGGCTACTTTGATTTGAATGCTCTCAATCCTGAGGGCTGCAGTCCCTGCTGGTGTTCGCATGTCTCGGAGAATTGCCACAGCGCCAAGCTGCAGACTCTGGCCTTTGAAACGCTCAATGATTGGAAGCTAACGGACATACAGCGATCGCAATCGATACCCATCTCTTTGGATGCGGAACAGAAGCGTTTGATTTTTGGTTATGAGTTGGCTGAAGTGGAGGCGGTTTACTGGCAGGCGCCGATGGGTTATCTGGGCAATCGTCTGACCAGCTACGGTGCCAGGCTGCAACTGCAATTAGCTTGGGTGGTGATGAGGGGTGATACTTCGGGCAAACCCACAACTGGGCCCAATGTCATATTGTTCGGGAAGAACGGCTTAAAGATTGCCTATGCGGATGAGTCGTTTGAGAGCTTGGAGCTCGCTCTGAATGTCACACTAACGGAAGAGGGCTGGTATCATGTGCCACCCACAGTTAAGGACATCAAGACCCGATTGCGTCGCACTGAGGGTGGCTATTATCATGGCGAGGAGGTGACCAGAACACAGTTCCTTTCGGTGCTCGTCTCACTGGATGCTCTGCTCATACGCGCCGCCTTTCACACAGATCAGGTGGAAACATCGCTGGCGCACGCTGTCATCTATTCGGGTGGCGTTGAGCTGGGCGCCCAGGCCACAACACAGGTGGAGCAGTGCATCTGTCCAACTGGCTACACGGGTCTCTCGTGCGAGGGCTGCTCCTTTGGGTATAAGCGCATCTTTGAAAACTCCACCGATCATCAGCTGCTGGGCAAATGCATACCCTGTCCTTGTAACGGCCACTCGAACTCCTGTGATCTGCAGAGCGGCAACTGTGGCGATTGCATGCACAACACCTACGGAGAACGGTGAGTAAAACACAGTAAACCACTTTACAATTTGAGGTATTTATCTTTAAACTGAAATTATACATTTGGAATGTGCATTTTTTTAAATTTTCTAAAACACGTCTCATATTAATGAGTACATTTCGCCGAATTGAGAATTGCTTTAGCCAAGTCACATAACATCCACACGCACACAATCCACGATTAGTCGATGCACACACCACTGACAGCGCTCAGGTTTATAATTGCACTAAACTCACCACTTCAGGCAGCAACACAACAACTTAGTCAAGACACACACACCTAATTCTCTGTTCATTTGTTGCAATTGCAGCTGCGAGCGTTGCCAGCTTGGTTTCTATGGCAATCCGCTGCAGGGCACACCACACGACTGTAAACGCTGCGCCTGCCCCCTGCTGGAGGAGTCGAACAATTTCTCGCCCAGTTGTCAGTTGAAGAGCTACAACTATATGGATCTGAATCCGCAATTCGAGCTGATCGAGCATGCGGAATACATATGCACACAGTGCCCGGAGGGATATACGGGAGATCATTGCCAGGTGTGTGATGATGGATACTTTGGCAATCCGCTGCAGATGGACAACAGCTGTCAGCGCTGCGATTGCCAGGGCGGTCCCTGCAATGTCACCAGCGGTGAATGCATCACTTGCTATGGGAATACAGAAGGATGGCGCTGCGAGCGCTGCAAACTGGGCTATTGGGGTGATCCCGCTGTCGGCTGTGAGCCGTGCAACTGTTTTGCCGATGGCTCCGAGAGTGGCCTCTGCGACAGCACAGATGGGCAGTGCCTGTGCCGTCCCAGATTCGCCGGCCAGAAGTGCAATGAGTGCGATGTGGGCTTTGCCCAAGTGGAACTGCAATGTGTACCCTGCGGCTGCGATGCACTGGGTGCTGTCAAACTGGACACCTGCAATAACAGCAGTGGACAATGCGAGTGCAAAGTGGGCGTCATGGGCCTCAAGTGTCACGAGTGCCAGAATGGCTACTTTGGCATGAATATCAATGCCCAGCAACTGGAGGATTTGGCTGCCCTGCGTCTGGCCGAGAATGATGATGACTGGGAGCTGATCAACGATAATGATGATCAAATGGAGGCTGTGGCCTGCGAGGGTGAGTACAGACATATCTGTGAACTTAACAGAAAATATTGACAAGTCTAAAAACTAAGATAATATATCGGATTAGAAAAAAGATTCTATAGTAAAATAGAAACTTTAAGCATCGACATTCTTCTAAAAATGCATTTTAAATAGAAGAATCTGTTTATTGTATATATTTTGTATATTTTTCAATATTTACCCGATATTTTTGAAATAAAAGTACGTAATTTAGTAATGCTTTTATGTGGCATAATTTTTCAAGTCATCAATTTAAACACACGCATAAGGAACATGCTTAAATGCGGTTAAGAACAAAGAAATTGTTGAAATATTCCATGTAAATTCCGGTAATTTATTTGTGCGCCTCACTGATAGATGACTTGTGGGCTTTGTTGTGCTTGCAACTACTACGAAAACCAGATGTGTGATGTGCATTGCATGGGGCGGAGCAGTCCATCAATAAGAATGGAAACAAGAAAGAACCTCTATCTGAGGCATGTCGAAAATCACACTCCCTTGAAGCCGAGCGAATGATTCTTTGAATAAAACACAAACCAACTGGTTATTCCTATGGCAGCTATAGGTTTTTGCTGTCGGATATTGGTAATTTGTGTAATAGTTTTATGGAAGGCATAATTCAAGAGTTTGGCAAAGGTATCTTTGAAAACAAACATTTTTCTTATACAAAAACTCATCTGAATTCTATACGTAACACAAGGCAAATAGAAATACTCTCTGTAAGGGTATACAAATGCCGTCGATTTAATATATGTACGCACATAATTACATTTTTGTAGTACTGGGAAATGCAATAGAAACTAAAAACTTTTAAGCTGCAGTACAAGTTCTTTGGAAAATCAATTAGACAGAACAAGCATAAATTATTAGCTAATTAGCTGCCAGTTAGCAAATGAGGTAGCCAACAATAAAATACGTAAAGTAACTACTTTAAAATAATGACAAGCAAAGTTAAAAATGTTTACATCTCGAGTTTGAAGGTTTACTAAAACGCTACGCAGCAATTCAAAAACAAAGTAACTGAAAATCTAAAAACAAAAGCCAACTCTTGGAAAAGTTCAGAAGTCTTGTAAGCGGTAGTGCTTTGGCCTATGCAATCCGAGTTCTTGTTCAAGTACAACACCTCTGCCAGCTAAGGAAGAAGAATAGATGCCGAGCGATACAAAAGTAATGAAGACCTAGGAGGAGGTTTCTGTTAACTGCACTTTGGGTTTGTTGCCCAGCCGTATTTCAAAACAATATACAACAATAAATTGTTATTTGAGTACACTTTGTACTATAACTGCTTTTTTTTTTGCCTATTGTCTGTGGTGTTAAAATGGTACAAAAAGACTTGGCCTGACTTCAAGGAGAACTGCCCACAGTGTATGAGAAATATCAAGTTACAATGGGTCGCTGTAATGAGCAATATATGATGTATGAGTTGGGTGTGAAATGTACAGAAAACTACATTGAAATAGGCGTCTATAGTGATGAGTATACAAATGAATAAAATTAATACCTTGAGATTTATTTAAGTTTTATGAATAGTTGCTTGAAAATTATGATAATATTCAAACAAAGTCGTTTATTTTATTTACTTGCGTAAAATATGATTTGTATTATGGCAAAATTCGAATCATAAATATAAAAAAAAGAATTTTTTTGTCTTTTGTTTTGTTGGTGTCATTTTGAGCAGAGCTATATTTTAAATATTTAATTGATTCAACCGTCGAACTGTATTATACGATCTCATTACGTAATTGGGTTAACAAGCGTTAGCTCGTAAAAATTACAAAATGCAGCCCACATCTGAGCAAGGCCCACAAAAGGAAAAATTTGTGCAGTGCATTCAACAAACAATTGCATTGGAGCGACAACCACAAAACTGATTTATGGCCAATTGCTGGAATTTAAGTTATGGCGGAATAAAAGTTTAAGTTTTATGCAAAACCTGGTGCAAAACTTGGCCAAATAAAATGCTAAAACTAATAACAAATAAATAAATGAAAAGGCAGCATTGCGGCAAGCACATTAGGGTCAAGTGTCGTAATCCAAGTCTGATTGAAGAGACTTCAAACTGGAAGCTGCTTTGTGCTTGCAACATGCTGCAAGTGGTTTTTGTTGTTGTGCTGGGTGTTGTTGTTTTGAGGTTAAAGCATCAAGCCGCTTAGGCATAACTGGCCATTAGATATAATTAACAATTTGTGGTCTAAGTTTGAAATCACAGTTTTGCAAGCACTGGCTGGCCAACTCGTTTTCCGCTCTTTAACCACAAATCTGACACTCTAATCTGCCAGCGCCTAAAAGTAGCTGCAGTTTTGACTTCGCTGCACTCAAGAAGTCAATAACTACACCCAGTTTGTGTCTCTCTCATTCGTTGCCTCTCTGCCTTTCTTATCGATACATCTCACTATCTCTCAGAGTCATGACAATGAAAGGCCGCAATGACAATTGGCCGGGACAAGAGGCCGCCTGCGACTGCCACACACACAACGGTAGCGGCATGTATATTGGCAGCACAGTAGCAATGCCAACAACTTTCATAAGCAACACCCACGCTAAATGGCGGTAAAATAACTGCCCAGTCAGCAGCTCAAGATATAAGATTATACCAATGAAAAGTGATTTGAGCAACAAGCTTGCAAACTTTTTGAAGCGCTCAAATCTATTCAAGTGCAGCTAAAGCTAAAAATGTCACTTTAACAGGCGATTAATCTTGAAAAATACATTCAAAGCTGCCTTAGGAGGAGAAGAAGACTTGGAGCAAACTGCACTTTAATGTAGCTGAAAGCGTTAATGTTTAGGAAGTTCTGCGTGTCGAGTTCCCAATGATCTAATAATAAATAGTTATTATTCTCCCTGGAAGCTTTCAACAATTTTAACTGGAAGCGTTCATCATATTTAAACTCTCTTCAAGCGCATGCTTCCTAAAACATTGTGTAATCTTTACTTGGACACTTAAACTGCTAGTTTTGTTCTACTTCTAATTCTTTTGCAGTTCATATCATTTTTGTCTTCTACTCTAGTTTTCAACATTTGCCAGATTATTGTGACCTTATCAAAGTGTGGTTCATTGGCAGTCATTTAAAAGGCACCGCCAACGCAACAAATTGCCTATCCAAATAGTCATAACTTCATTTTTGAGACAGCAATGTGAAACCGCAAGAGTGAGCACAATTGCAATTAATTTCAAGGTATTTAACACAAATATTTGAAATTGTTTCACTAATCAGTTTTGGCCGAAACGGTAATCGGCCTAGGAGCAAAGTCAAATGGAAGGCAGTGACAATTTTCGCATTTCGGTTTTACGTATTGGTTTTGGTTTTGGTTGTTTTTCGTTGTGCGAGGTCCACCAACCAGACTCTGGGCATACCAATGTCCATAAAAATGTCAACCACAACAGTAACAACAAGAAAACAGTGAAGAAAATATGTGCCGATTGGCTTGGCTCGCCAAAGTGGTTTGCTGCTGCTGCTGCTGCAGTTGGTGGTTGCCTGGGCCTAAAACTGGACACAACATCTCGTTGGCTCCATGCTGTCTGAGATTTTGCTGTGGTTGTTGCTGGTTGCTGCTGCTGCTGCTTGTGCTGTTGCTGTTGCTGCTGCTGTGGCATGTCTCTGGTGAGCGGCAAATGGAACTGATTACAAAATATGACCAGCGGCTAAATGTATGCGCCGTTTGCTGCTTAATTTCTTAGATACCAAAGTCTTTGCTTTCGATTCTACACAAGCAAAAACCCAGATAGATATGTATTTTTAATTTTTATACGTGGGCCTTAAATTTGAGACTTTGGTTAGCCACAATACACGTGCTACTGTTTTTTTTTTCCACGCTAATGACTAAGCCAACTGCCAAATTGGTAATGCAAATGAGCTCCTTAAGTGCCCCAGTTTCAACTTATTTGCAGCTATGTAAGCGCAATTGCATGAGAATTTTGTTTTTGGCCAAAACAACTATAATTTGAGAGCATTTTAATGTTGACATGGGAAAAAATGATTGAGGATTGTGACAAATTTGTAGCCTATGAAAATAAACCGGATAAGAACAAGACTATCTGTGAGATATATGCTTATATCAGGTTTTCAATGGATTATTTATCATATTCTGCATTTGTAATGGGTTCGGCTAGTATAAATTTAAAACAACTGACCGATTTTTTCTATAAAAGCTATGTGATCAGTAGTCTGATGTAAAAATATTAGTAATATTCTATCACGCATAACTCATAAGTTTGGTGTGGATATCAAACAAGTTATTCTTACAAGAACTCATCTTTCGACCGATTCTATACTATATAATAGGATATAATAATCTGATCTCAAAATTTATTTGTATAAATATTGGGAGCATTATATTAAGGATAGCTAGTTTGGTTGTTCAACAAAAAAGGTTTCATACAAAAATTATGGCAGCTATATGATAAAAGATGAACATATGCCAAATTGTATCAAGATAGCCTCAAGTTGAACGACTGTTTCAATTGAAGAATATACATATCTCATATGAATATTTGTTTGTTTTTATATCCATTTACACATCTTAACAATCATGATTAAGATTAGTTTACATATTTTGCTCGCAGAATCTTGCTTTCGTAAAACTTATCTTTCTACCAATAAATAAATTATTTACAGCGTGATTCTTATTACACTCAATGAATGTAGAAGTGATATTCAGGAATTTATAGTTTTCAACTTTCTATCATAACGCAGCCTCTTCAAATTATTTTATTCACATTGCGTTTTTTTATTAGAATCCATGACTGCCATAAATTGCAATGCCTAATGTTTTGCTTGCACATGTGCTAACAATTTGAGATGCTTCAGCTGTTAACCAGGCCAAAACAATTACAAAATTAAAAAAAAAAAACAAGAAAAATGCGAGCCGAAAGCGTTTTACTCTTGGTGTGTGAGTGTTTATTGTGTGTGTGTAGCGAGTATCTTTTTCACAATTGCCAAAGACAAGACAGAAAATTGCAAATACAAAAAGCAACTTTATACGTTGACGCGT